AAAAAAAAAAAGGTGTGGAGGAGGGACTGTGCGTGATGTGTTCATTAAAAACAAGTTGTGAGTAAAGGTAAGAGTAAAGTGAAGAAGTGGGGGAAAAGTGACTGGAAGAAGGCTAGAAAGATTAGCTGAAGCCAGGTCACCACAGGCTGCTTTATAACCAGTGGGGAGCCTTTTTTTTTTTTTGAATTGGAGTCTCACTCTGTCACCCAGGCTGGAGTGCAGTGGCACATTCACGGCCACCCCGGTGTCAACCTGCTGGGTTCCGGTGATCCTTCCTCCTCAGTCTTCCAAGTAGTCTGAACTACAGGCGTGTTTTTACCACGCCCGGCTAATTTTTGATTTATTGTAGAGTCTGGACTGGTCTCAAACCCATGGGCTCAGGCAATCCACTAGCCTCGGTTCCCAAAGTGCTGGGATTACAGGCTGAGCCACTGAGCTCTGCCTACCATTGAATGTTTTAAGCAGTGGGGAGACATTGCCACATCTCGTTTTGGGAGATTCGCTCTGATGAACTGGTGTGTGTGTCTATAGAGGCTAGGATGGGGTTGGGACAGAAGTGCAGGAAACACTAGAGAGTCCTAGACGTGCTAGGCAGCTGGTACAGTGTTCTGGGAGAGGTTTGAGGAAAGCCCAATTATGCTAATGTCTTTAAAACATTTTTCAAGATTTTAAAAGTAATAATATTCAGTTTAAAAAACCAAAACTATGCAAAGGTGGACAAAGGAGTGAAGGTTTCCCTTCCTCTGTTGCCTTTCCAGGTCTTAGGGAAGTCACATCTCAGCGTTCAGTCTCAGGAGAGACTGAGCCCCTCCTAGGTTGGACCCTGCTGCGTCTGTGTCTTGGACTGAGCTGACATTTCCTCCTCAATGTTAATAGCATCTCTATCTATTTGCATTTGACTTTGTACTTCCTCTTCCCTACACAGAAGAGAACTGTTTAGCACCAGGATGGGAGCCCGAGAGAACGCCCTTAAGATCCTAATTGTCATCACAGATGGAGAGAAGTTTGGTGATCCCTTGAATTATGAGGATGTCATCCCTGAGGCGGACAGAGAGGGGGTCATTCGCTATGTCATTGGGGTATGGAATACGTCTCAAGCCTGATGCTTCTGTGGAGGGTTTCTATTTGGATACACTCTTCATTCAATTTGCAAATATCGGTAAAATCAAAACGAGGCAGGGGCTACTATTAGCTCAGAGGCACCTGTATCATTTATCAAAATAATGCTGTGGAACAAACTATCCCCAAAGTCAGTGGCTTAAAATAATAAATAACCCTATATGTTAGTTAGACAGGTGTTCGGTCTCGTCTGGGCTCATTCACACATCTGCAATCAGTTGCAAGTTAGCAGGCAAATCTGCTGATCCTGGCTGGGCTCTCTCCATTTCTGAGGGCTGCCAACTATGTCTGCCTACTATGCTAGATAGCCTTGATTAGAACAACTGGGGTGACTTCCCTCTTTGGCTCCCTGGGTTTCATTCTCCAGTGGGCTAGCCTGAGCATGTCCTCATGGCGAAGGCAGAGGAAGCAGAAATGGTGTTAAGTGCTTTTTCAAGTCCCTGTTCGCATCTTGTTTGATAACATCCATAGGCTAAAGCAAGATGTGTGCTGGGCCCAGAGACAATGAGTGGAGCAGAAGGCTCTACCAAGAGTAGGAGAGCACAGCAAAGTTTTGGGGAAAGGGCTTGGATACAGAAAGAGGTAAAGAACTAGGATCATCAGCATAATCAAATTATCACAGCACCTTGTGTGACACAGAAACAGATATCATCATGGATGCATGGCTGGGCAGGTAGGAAATACCTTCCTATAAAGAAAAAGGTTCCTCTTTTTCTGGGGGGAGGTCAGATTCACACCAGTGGACGTGGCACAGCAAACAGAGCAAAGGCTGGGGTTTTAGCCTGCCACTGCTCCCTTGGCAGAATGCCCTGTGCAGTGTGCAACCTGCCCAACTATATTTGGTAGCCCTGTCCCAGGGGCCTTCTGGTGCATTTTTTCATTTGACAAATAGTGTTTCAGATTCTTTTCCTGCCAGCATTTTCTTTGCTAGATGATACTGCTGCCCCTAGACAGTGTCTGATTTGGCCTCTGTTCCTTGCTAACAGGTAGGAGATGCCTTTTACAGTGCGAAATCACGCGAAGAGCTTAATACCATTGCATCCAAGCCAGCTCGTGATCACGTGTTCCAGGTGAATAACTTTGAAGCTCTGAAGACCATTCAGGACCAACTTCAGGAAAAGATCTTTGCGATTGAGGGTGAGTCAGGCATTTGTGTTCTAGAGCAGCTCCAGAGGCAGTCCTCCATCCCCTCTAGAAACTAGATGCTCCTAACCCTTGGTGTCCTTACCCTCAGCATTAACTCTCTCTTCACATCCTGAAACTCCCAGCGCCCTGGCCTCTCTCTGTCAATTCCTTTGATATCAAAAGAATTGAGACTTTTATCTCTAATTTTACCAGTCTTGGCTATACACTGATACACTGGAGTGTAGGGGAGTCAAATCCCACACAGTATTTTTCAAGGTATTTGGATGTATTGCCAACATTTGTCTGTTTGGTTCACTACTGTAACCCCTTACCTAGAATAGTGCTTGGTATTTAGAAGGTGCTCAATAATAGCTTGTTAAAGAAAAGGAATTTAGAAATGGGGAAGGGATTTCATATACAACCTGGATTTATGGCTTATCTTGAAAAATTAGGAGATTAGATACCTTGAGGACCACATTCCCACTTGGCAAGAATGGTTGGTTGAATAGCCATCACCACTTTAAGAGGGACGTATGCTTTCCAGGTCAACACAGATTCCTCCTTTTGTCTGACCACCATAGCATTTGGGTTTCCAGCACCTCTCTTAGGCTCTTCTGCTTTCTTTCATATAGAAAGTTCTCCTCCTCACAGGTACTCAGACAGGAAGTACCAGCTCCTTTGAGCATGAGCTGTCTCAGGAAGGCTTCAGTTCTGCCATCACTTCTGTAAGTGGCTCTCCATCAAATCAGGAGTGGGACAAGAAGAGATAAAAGGCCTCGGAGGCTTTTCTCTGTGATGGGTGCTTGTTGGGAGGTTCCTCTTGGATGGGCAGCAGCGGTCCCTTCTCCCTTTTTCATAAATCCTGCTTTACCCCTTTTACCAGACTGGTCCCTTGCTGGGCTCTGTGGGGAGCTATGACTGGGCTGGTGGAGCCTTTCTGTATACATCAAAGGAAGAAGGCACCTTCATCAACACAACCAGGGTAGATTCAGACATGAATGATGCTTACTTGGGTAAGTGAGGGGCAAGGGTTACTCTCAGAAGGGTCAGGATATGGCATATCTCAACTAGTATGAATGTCATCAGCTCTTTCGGAGGCCTTTGGGATAGTTTGAAAGACAGAACTTTCCAAATTTAATTTTAATTATGTTCACAAAGAAGGATGTAGTACAGGGTTCAGGTACCCCAACCTATCAAGTATGGGACTGCCCCATTGCCTCTACTCAAGGAATGGGTCTGCATGGTGAAGAAGGGGGAAGGGAAAGCACTTCACCTCTTAGACCATCATCTTCAGGTTATGCTGCCGCCGTCATCTTGCAGAACCAGGTGCAAAGCCTGGTTCTGGGGGCACCTCGATATCAGCACATTGGCCTGGTGGTGATGTTCAGACAGAATGCTGGCACCTGGGAGTCCAACGCTAACATCAAGGGCAGCCAGGTGAGTCCAGAGTGTGAGGGGCATGAATGTGCAAGCACCTTGGGAGCTGAGAGATTCCAGGAGGTGCATTGCCAGTTGCCAAGTGTGGCGGAGTCTTGTAAATAGGAGACTTTGCATTTGAGAACGCTATGTCTTAAGCTTTCCTGACAATAATAAACAATAGCACTTGACCTTCGCAGAGCTCTCTCTGAGTCTACCTGTATTCAGAGCTGGTATTCAACCAGTACATAACCAGTATAGCCATATTAGTTATCAAAATATTGAAATAATTCCATATCTGTCAATACATGGTGCTTCTCTCTCACCTATGCACTCTGGTGCCTCTCTTGGTGCCCACTGATCTTCCCTACGAGGTAATTGTGAGGTTAGGCTGGATACCTCAGGGGACCTCCAGCCAAGCCCCTGCTTATACCTGTGCAGTCCCAGCAGTTCAATATTTTGAATATCACCCCCGCAATAGCAGTATGGTCACGTATTATGTGGCAACTGGTGTGTGAGACAAAAATCTCTAGTCAAAATCATTCTTGGCAGTTCTTGAAACAGGACTGCACTCATGATATTGTGCCTGTAGTTCTGTGTGTTTCTTTAGTTTCCATCAGTAGTTCTCTTTGGCCTACAAGTAATGCATCATGTGTGGATGAAACCAGTTTCCCTGATACCAAAATATCTTGTCATAATTCTTTGTCAATAGTCAGGTTCTTCACGTGCTCTTTCCACATGTTGATGACATCAATGCCTGGCACGTATAAGGGGTGGAGCAGGGGATAATGTAGGGGAATTCCAGGAAGTCAAGTGTGATTGTGACACTACTTCTCTGTTTTGTGTTTGGGGAAGGGACATGAGGAAGGCTGGCTGGTCAGCTCCCACACCACACTCAAGCACACACAAATTACCATCAAGGATAATGTAGGCTTAAAGTGGGGATAGTCTGGTAGTCATGAGAGTACATGGGAGGGGCATCTACACAAGGGCATTAGGGAAGGCTTCCTGAGGAAGTGACAGTTAAACCAAGACCTAAGGTGGAAGAACAAGAGAAGTGAAGGGGGAGAGGGGAAGAAAAGAGACAGAGGAGGGAGAAAACATGGGAGGGAGTTCAGAGTTGTGGGTGTTGGTGGTGGGAGAAAACACAAGAAAACTACAAAGAAGGATAGGTGTAGTTTACCCCAGGCATGTAGGGCTTGTTCAACATTAAAAAGAAACGAATATCGTAGAAATGGACAAACTAATCCTGAAGTACATGTGGAAATACAAGGGACCTGTATTAACTGAAATAATCTTGAAAAAGGAGAACAAAGTTGGAGGATTTACACCTCTCATTCAAAATTTACAAATCCAGAGAGCCAGAAAGTAGATTAGTGGTTGCCACTAATCTCTAGTCAAAATTATGAGGTTTGGGAGTGACTGTTAACAGATACAGAGTTTCTTTTTGGGGAGTTGGAAATATTCTGCCATTAGTAGTGATGGCTATACAACATTGTGAATATACTAAAAACCACTGAACTTTTTACACTAAAATGGTAAATTTTAGGTTATGTAAATTTTATCTCAATTTAAAAAGTTATTTTGAAAAAAATCAATGTAGGTCACCATAATGACACATTAGAGAAGAAAAAAATGTAATCACCTTAATAAATACAGGAAATAACTTGAGAAAATATAATATCCTTTTATGATTAAAGACTCTCAACAAACTAAGAACTATAGGGAATTTTCTCAACCTGAAAAAGAGCATTTACAAAAAAACTACAGCTGGCATACTACTTAAAATAAGTGAAAGAGAATGTTTTTCTCCTAAAACTGAAAACAAGGCAAGAATATCCATTTTTTACTATTCCTATTTAACATTGTACTGGAAGACCTAGCCAGTGCAATAAAACAAGAAAAAGAAGAAGAAGAAGTAAAAAAACATAGAGTGGCCGGGCTCGGTGGCTCAGCCTATAATCCCGTGCCTTTGGGAGGCTGAGGTGAGTGGATTGCCTGAGCCCGAGGGTTCAAGACCTGCCTGGGCAGCGAGACCTCATCTCTACAATAAATAAAAAAATCAGCCGGGCGTGTTAGCTCATGCTTGTAGTTCCAGCTACTTGGAAGGCTGAGGTGGAAGGATCTCCGGAGCCCAGCAGGCCGAGGCTGCGGTGGCCAGGAGTGGCCACTGCACTCCAGTCTGGGCGACAGAGTGAGACTCCCACTCAAAAACAAAACAAAACAAAAAAAACCAAAACAGAGTGGAAAGGAAGAAATAAAACCGTCTCTATTTGCAGATTACACAATTGCATATAAAATTCAAAAGAACCTATTAAAAAGCTACTATAATAATAATAGGTTATTTAAGTAAGTTCTCAGGATACAAGAACAATATATAAAAATCAGGCCGGGTGCAGTGGCTCACGCCTAAAATCCCAGAACTTTGGGAGGCTGAGGTGAGAGGATTGACTGAGCCCATGGGTTTGAGACCAGCCTGGGCAACTTGGCAAGACCTTGTCTGTACAATAAATCAAAAAATTAGCCAGGCATGGTGGCACATGCCTGTAATTCCAGCTACTTGGAAGGCTGAGGCGGAAGGATCTCTGGAGCCCAGCAGGTCAAGGCTGCAGAGGCTGTGAGCGTGCTACTGCTTTCCAGCCTGGGTGACAGAGGGAGACCCCAAATCAAAACAAAACAAACAAACAAACAAAAATATAAAAAAGCAATTATATTTCTATAATATCATTGAACAGTCAGAAATTCAAATAGAATGCAAAACCATTTACTGTGATTGGACAGTAGTATGAATACTATTATGTATTCATAGTAATTTAAAAATTGATAAAAAATTCTGAAAATATATTTAGGATTGACAAGCCTATTCTAAAATTTACAAAAAAATAAAAAGAGTAAAATATCCAAGACAGTTTTGAAAATAATTTAGGTAAATACTATGAAGTATTTAGTGGAGGACTCACATTTTTCTTGATTTCAAGTCTTATTACAAAGTTAAAATAATCAAGGCAGTGTGACATTGGTGAAAGGATGTCAACCTGTAGATCAGTGAAACAGAGTCATCCTGAAATAGACTGACACATGTATAGTCAACTGATATTCTTTTAAAAATATGTTCTTTCCTCCCTCCCCATCAGCTTTATGACAAGTGAAAATAGTATTTATTTACGATGCACAACATGATGTTTTGATAGAGGCATTCATTATGAAATGATTAAATCAAGCTAATTAATACATCCATCACCTCACATAGTTATCACTTTTTTTTTTTTTTTTTTTGAGTTGCAGTCTTACTCTGTCACCCAGGCTTGAATGCAGGGGCATGCTCACGGCCATCGCAGCCTCGACCTGCTGGGCTCAGGCGATCCTTCCGCCTCAGCCTTCCAAGTAGCTGGAACTACAGATGCATGCCACCACGTCCGGCTAGTTTTGTGATTTATTGTAGAGATGAGATCTCACCAAGTTGCCTAGACTGGTCTCGAACCCCCGGGCTCAGGCAATCCTCTTACCTCAGCCTCCCAAAGTGCTGGAATTACAGGCTGAGTCACCGTTGCCCGACCAGTTATCACTTTTTGGGGTGAGATCATTTAAGATCTACTTTCTAGCAATGTACAAGCATACAATACATTATTATGAACTATAGACACCATATAGTGCTAAAGATCTACAGAGTTGATTCATTCTAACTGAAACGTAGTAACTTTTTAAAAATTGTTGGATTATTTATTTATTTATTTTTATTTTAAAGATGTGGGGTACAATTTAGGGTTAGGTATACAAATGTTCATCATGCAGGTACCTTTGTTGATGAGGTGTATCCCTCCCCCTGGCAGTTTCCCTCAACTGCCAATCTCACCTTCTTCCCCTGGCAGTTTCCCTTTCTTACAGTATTATGATAATTGTTCAAGGTCCGCTTATGAGTACAAATCGTACTTTATTCTTTGTTTCTGTGATAGATCACTGAGTATGATAGACTCTAAATCCATCAAATTGCTGCAAAGTCCATATGTTTATCCTTCTTTATGGCTGTATAATATTCGAAACTTAGTCCCTTTTGACCAATATCTCCCCATTTCTCCCCCAGCCTCCAGTCCCTGGAATCCACCATTCTACCCTCAGCTTCTATGAATTTGACTTTTAAATATTCCACATATGTGACAACATGCAGTATTTGTCTTTCTGTGCCTATCTTATTTCACTTAGTATAATGTCCTCCAGGTTCATTCATGTTACCATAATGACAGAATTTCCTTCTTTTAAAGACTGAATCGTATTTCATCGCATATATATGTGTTTATATGTTTTCTTTCTCCATTCATCTGTTGTTGTTGGACACTTAAATTGATGCCATATCTTGGCTATTGTGAATAATGCTGCAATGTGTATTAACCCAGAAGTGGGATGACTGGATCATATGGTAGTTCCATTTTTAATATTTGAGAAAATTGATTTACATCACCACCAATGGTGTACAAGGACATCTTTTTCTCTACATCCTCACCAAGACTTATCTCAGTTTTTAAAAATTAATAATCATTCTAACAAGTGTGAGGTGATATCTCATTGTGGCTTTAATCTGTGCCTTCTAAGTAAGCAGTTTGTAAATATATCTGTTTTATTTTGAGAAGTATCCATTCCAGTCCCTTGCGCATTTTAAATTGGGTTATTTTTTCTCTAGCTATTGAGTTGTTTGAGTTCTTTATATATTTTGGATTTGAATCTCCTATCAGATGTATGGCTGGTAAATATTTTCTCCCATTCCGTAGGTTGTCTATTCACTATGTTGTTTTCTTTGCTGTGTGGAAGCTTTCTAGTTTGATGCCATTCCATTTTTCTACTTTTGCTTTTGTTTCTTGTGCTTTGGAGGGGTCATATCCAAAAAATTATTGCCCAGACCAATGTCAAGTAGCTTTCCCCCTATGTTTTCTTCTATTTGTTTTACAGTTTTAGATCTTTGAAATGGATGTCTTTAACCTATTTTCAGTTGATTTTTGTAATGGTGTGAACTAAGGGTCCAATTTCAT